TATATACAGTACTTTGAATTGTTAGAGGGCCTATATTCTGTTCAAAGCCAGTTCTTCCCTCCAGACTTTACTCTTATTGACCTTATGGAGGAAAATAAGAACTGATGGCAGTTCCTTCATTGTATTGATCACTGACTGCTTAGTCTAATCCAAAACCAAAGTGCAGGTAAAGGGTTGTAGAGCTATGGGTTCAGCTATATTTTAGCAGCCAATCCCCTGTGTTTGCTGGGAGCTCTAGTTTCTGGAAGAAGTCTTGTTTAGTTAAAACAATGCAAAAGCTTGAGCAGCATCATCAGAAGTGGAAATTGTGCTGGTACTGGCATGGTCTGAGTATCTGAAATGCTCCGTGCTGGATGCCAGACTGCAGCCAGCTCATGTGGAAGCTCCAAAACCAAAATGATGATGACTTAGCTAACTAAACAGTACAGAAAGGCTTATAAGGAACTCAGAGCCTTGGTCAGGATGTAACAGTCTGACCCGTGGTAGACTTTTCTGAGACACTTTTCCAGCCCTTGGAGAGATGCTCAAACAGGGAGTCCAATGCCAGTGTCCCATTTCTGGTCCCAGGGTCCTGTTACTGGTCCCAGTGTGTGTCCCAGTGTTCCAGCTGCAGCACAAGTGTTTTGTTGCCCTCTCGTGGCCACCACTTCCCTGAAAGCCAAAGTAGAAGGTGAGGATTAAGCAGCAAATATCCCAGAATTTGGGGAAGTATTCATAAATTATATACACTGCTGATGTGGATACACAGCCAACTGGTTTACAGCAGCACAACAAAGGTGTGTTACAACCCTCAGAGTTCCAAAGGAAGCAGAAAAATTAGCACATAAGATGCCAAACCAGTTTCTCTTCCTTTGTAAAAACTTATTCCCTCCTGGTTGATTTTTGATTGATTGATTTCCCATCTAAATGTCTCTTTACAGCTTTTTTTCTGGTTTTCTATTCTGGTACAATCCCTCTTTAGTGAATATCTTAGGTTGATTTTTCTGACTATCTCTGTATCAAATTATTCTTTCACTGAACAAGGATGTGCTTATGGGAAGCCTGTGGTGCTTCCCTGCTAGAAGCAACTGCAAACTTGAGCCATTCCAAAGGTTGCTTCCATGCAGGGTAGGAATTAATTTCCAGTTCCTTGAAACTCTAAGGTTTGTATTTTTTTTAAACTACATTCTACATCAAGATGATCCAAATATTCTGGTATGAAATACATTCATAAACTTTTAGGAAGACTAACCTGTTTTGATTTGGGTGGGGGTTTTCATGTCTCATGTGGTTACCATGAGATTCTGAGGCTGTTTGTTCCAGTCTCTGTCAATTTAAATTCTATCTTGCATCTGCAAAGCTTTTCCTACCCAAAGTTTTGTCAATGCTGCTACACTGTCACTGTTAGCCTGCAGAAAATACTCTCTCCCTGAAAAATTCCCAGTTTCTTTGTGTAAGGCAGACACTGCTCATCTGACCAGGGGCAAAAGTCTGCAGGGGTTTGAAAACAAACAGGCAAAAAGAAAGAAAATTGGACAGTGACAGGACTTTGTCAGGGAGAGCAATGGGTAAATTCTGTTAGCCATTGTCACTTCTTTGTGACTTTCATCCTTAATGATTAGTTACAAGGTGCAGAATAATGAAAAGAGCTGTTGATTTTGAAGCCAGAGAAGCACAATGTATGAATGTGAAGTTATCAAAACACTGACACTTGAAAAGTGCAGTGGATGTCACCTGGTAGCAAAAGGATTTTATTCCTTATAAAATCAACAAAATGTCTCTTCCTCTGGATATATTTCAACGAACTTGAAAATTTGCATTGGTTTTATTTAACAATAAGTATCAGTAAAGCTGAGCCAATGACTATCTAGTTGTCTTCTTCAAGCATCTTGTTTTGTTTCTCCAGATGTAGAAGTGTTCAATGAAGTTCAAGATTGCATAATTCCCTCTGAAGAACCTTTCAAAAGACCAGGTGAGTTTAGAAACCTCAAACTTAAAACTTCCAGTATTTTTTGGAAAAAGATTCTGTGTTTCTTTGCATACAAAAAAAAGCTAATTGTTATAGGAATCAGCATTCATTTGTGAAGATGTTCTGGAGGTCTGAGCACAGTTCCTGGTTGTAAGAGTTAGACTAGAGTTAGAGGAGGCCACGAAATTGATAACAGGACTGGATGATCTGTAAGGTCCATTCCAACCCCTAAATTCTATGATTCTATGACTACCTTTAGATATCTAGCTATAGTTACCTACTCAGCAGGTCAGTGTACTTCACTGGTTAGAACAACTCTATAGATAACCCCAAGATTATTTAGTTCAGAAATCCAAAAGTGTCTGTTGTGCCTGCACTTCTAACCTGCAGTTTGCATGACAAATCCAGACCTAGAGGCTTTATGGGAATAGATGTGTTTTGACCATATTACACTTGTGTGCTTAAACTGCACAATGTGCTGAAACCACCATGAAATGATGGAATTTGTGGCCTGGTTTCTTCAGTTTGTGTGTGCTTTTTGTTTCTCTAGAGTCAGTGGAAACTTTCTGTGCTTCGCTGAAGGATTATTTCCAAGACACCTGCAGATTTGTGGCCATGGAACGTGAAGTAACTCTGGATCACCTGTTTATTGATGAGACACTTGTTCAAATCCAAACTGAATTCAAGACTGGAAAGAATAGTGGAAAAGCAGTGGAAAAGGAGCTGGTAACTTGCAGTCTGCAAGGGAAGGAAAAGACACCCATTAATAGAAGCCAAATATTTCAAATTCCAGGACATAAAGGCTTAGAGACTAAAGTGATTGTGG